ACAAAGGCAGAGGAATTAGCGATGTGCTGCTGTCAGCGAAGTCAATGATTAAGGAATGAGACAAGTTAAGAAAGGAGTTGAAGATCGATTCGATTGAGGACTTGGAGTTAAAAATCGACGCTTTAGAAAAATTGTATCTCTCGAATCAAAGTAACTCGGGATCTTACTCCGAACTTTCGTTTGCGAAGGTTAAATTATGGGCAGCGTATAGAAAGGAAGAAAGAGATTGGCTGCAAAAATCGAGATTAAGGTGGTTCAAAGAAGGCGATAAGAATACTAAATTTTTTTCACCTTATTGCTGCGATTAGAGGTAGTACGAACTAGATTTCGAAACTGAAGGTTCAAAATTCGGTTTATAAAAATCAGTCATGGATTCATCAAGCGATTCGATATACCGATGAAGAGAATCAGTGCTGCCACTAGAAGGATGATTGAAAGCCCGTTTTCATATGAGTAGATATAGCTAACAATTAATTCTTCGGACGGTTCAAGAGTGCTAGTCCGGATGGATTTAGTTTGGACTTTTTCAAGAAATTTGGAAGGATATTAAAGCTGATGTGTTGAAGTTTATGGACGATTTCTATTGAAATATAATTACTGATTTTTCATTCAATAAATCTTTTATCACTCTCATTCCGAAGAAAAATCTAGTTGTTTATCCTGAAGACTTTAGACCTATTTCTCTTATGGGCAGTATGTATAAAATTATGGCGAGCGTCTTGGCGAAAAGAATGGCTTCCTGCATTAATGAAGTAATTGGCAAGAATCATTTTGCGTTTATGGCTAGCAAATAGATTTTAGATTGTTCCCTGATTACGAATGAAGTTATTGACGACCTGAATAAAAGCAAGAGTGAAGCAATACTGGTCAAGGCATATTTCAGCAAAGCATACAACACAGTCGACTGTGGGTTTTTGAATCTGATATTAAGAAAAATGGGATTTGGTAAAAGATGGAGGACTTGGATCAATATGTGTATTTCGAGTCCCATGATTGTGGTTCTAGTCAATGGATGTCCTTCCAAATGGTTTTCTATAAAAAGGGGTCTTCGACAAGGCTGCATGTTGTCGTCGTTTTTATTTAATGTAGTGGGAGAGGCGCTTAGTGGAATGCTAAAGAAAGCGGCTGCATATGGTTTGTGTGGAGGGGTTAACATTGGGTTAAGAAGAACGAGTGTTCTTCATATCCAATTTGCTGACGATATAATCTTATTTTCGACGGCAAAGGAATATATGATCAAAAACCTATTTTGGGTCCTCAAAATTTTTTAAACTTGCGGAAGACTAAACTATATGGCATCAGTGTGGTGGACAGCAGAGTGCAGGAGTGGGCAGATATGGTTTTTTGTGACTGGGCTAAACTTCCTTCGACGTATTTGGGGCTAGCGTTAGGTTACAAAAAAATAATAAAACGATGTGGCAACCGATCGTGGATAAAGTCAGATCGCGACTTTAAAGTTGGAAAGGTAAACTTCTATCTTTTGGGGGCGTATTACTTTGATTAAATCTGTTTTGGTGAACCTTCTGGTGTATTACATGTCCCTTTTCTCTATTCCTAACGCCATAGCAAAGATTTTAAACAAATGTATAGCTAGTTTTCTTTGGAACGTTAAGGATGGTAGAGGTATTCATTGGATTAAGTGGGATATGGTGTGTGGTATGAAATCTCATGGTGGTCTGGAATCTATGATGTTAAGCTTAGGAATTGTGCTTTGTTGAATAAATGGTTTTGGCGGTTTAGTGAGGATAAAGAAAGTCTATGGAAAAATATTATTGTTGCCAAGTACAATTATGTTTCGGATGAGATTATGCCAAAAGGAGTTAGTCCACGATATTCGATAGGGGTGTGGCACAATATAGTGAATCAAGCTACGATGAATGCTGATGGTTTTTTTCAGATGTGAGGTGCGTCATGGGAACTGGTCACAGAATTGACTTCTGGAATGATCATTGGACAGATTTTCAGTCCTTAAAAGCAGTTTTTCCTAGAATTTATGGGATTACAATGAAAAAGTTTTGCTCTATTAGTGAGTTTGGGTATTCGGCGAATGGAAAATGGGTTTGGAATATTGAATTGAGGCATGGATTCTTTGAATGGGAAAATGTTATTTGGAACAATTTTTGTCAAGTTCTAAAAAGTGGTGTTAGTTCAAATCCAGGTGTTGATAGATTGAAGTGGATAGGTTCTCCCAATGGCATTTATTATCCTAAAGATTTCTGCATTAAATTGGCAACGATAGGTAAGATTAAAGACCCAATTTGGAAAAAGGTTTGGAATAAGTTTGTCCCTCCTAAAGTGGATGCGTTTGTCTGGAAAGTTGTATAACAAAGGCTGCCAGTTGCGATGGAATTGGTTAAGAGGGGCATCAATTGCAATGTCCAACTCTTGTGCTTGTTTTGCAAAAGTCATCCGGATGATGTCAATCATGTGTTATGCCATTGTAATTTCGTATGGCAAGTGTGGCAACGGTGGTGTTTTCCATGGAAAGTCTGGTTTATTTTTCCTAAGAATGTCAAAGATTTATTAGAGATATGAGCTTCTCAGAAAATTAGAAGAAAAGCAATGAATCTTTGGCAGCTTGGGTTTTTTGTTTTGATTTGGCAGATCTGGTTGTGTAGAAACAAGTTAAGGTTCAGTGATGTGTCTTATAATGTGGATCAAATATATTTCAACGTTTTACTGCATATAGGGCTTTGGGCTAATATATTATGGCCATCGCTAGTTCCACATGTTGAAGACTTTGTTCGAAGCCCAGAATCTATCATTTTTATTGATCATTGAAATAATGTAAGGATCAAGGGGAGTGTATTTCAGTGGAATAAATTTTTATTATAGTCATGAACTAGATAGGGGTGTGGGCGAACGTTTTATGGCAGACGTTGAGTCCGGTTGTTCAAGAGTTTGAGCGAAGTACTCAGTACATCATTCTTGGAGTGAGTTGACAGTGATTTTATGGTGTTTTGCTTTAATTCACTGCTGAGTTATAATTGTTTTAATCAACCCGGATACTGGTGCTGATCTGATGCATTCCATTGTTATTGTCCTTGAGTTAGATCATTATTATTGTCCATTCTGAATGAATTATTTGTAGCTGCTTTGATTGTATTGGCTACTGCTTTTCTGATATATTCCATTGCTAGTGTGCTTGGGCTGTGGATTGATGTAGGATTGGGATGCAGAATGGTGATTTTAAGGTGTTGTACAGTGTTATAAGATGTGTTATAGCAGGTTTGGAAAATCTGGTTTATGATGTTGTTCTGATGCTTCCCATTGATGATGTATTTGTGTTAGTTCAATATTGCCTTCTGTTTTCTGGTTTTTAATAACATATGCTTGATCTGTATTGGGGTTATAATGAGTTTGGGTTGTGGATTCCGGTATGTTTAGCAAGATGTAATAGCATTACTTGTTTGAGATTCTTTTCACCTCAAGGTACACTCTTTTTCCTTTATTTAGGGTTAGGAAGGTTTTTTAATAAGGTCCTTGAGGTGTTGTACTTTGTATTTCTTAATAATACAAAGTACCCTCTTTCAAAAAATATAGAATGTGAGTAATGATGGATGTAGAATTTTATATTAGAATAGTAAACTTATAATATTTTAGGAGATACGAATTCATAAAATTTTAGGAGATAAAAACAAATTATCAAAAGAAATAAAAAAAATATCTAAAATATATAAAAATTTAAAATTTTGAAGAGTGTGAACTGATCTATCACCGAGTTCACTCAAGCTTTTAATTACACCACAGGAGGAAGCTCGGTCAAATTGAAATTGGTAGGAAACAAGGAAATTAAGAGAGTGGGTAATTAGTTGTTTATAGCTTAGTTATAAACTCACCTCCTACATATATAACTAAGCCAAACCAAAGCAAAAATAATAATAATAATAATAATAATAATAATAATAAAGGCAGTGGTGCCATATCAAGTAATAAAGTTAATGAAGAAGATGATCCATCGCTATCAGATGAGATTAAGCTTGGAACAAGATTCCCAAGAGGACCACCAACACATGCATTTCCCCATGCAGCTTTACCTGCTGCCATTGTGATTTAAATTTCCCGAATCAAGCAAAGTATCCTCCACAACAACTGCACATATGTTGCTGCTCATACTTTGAACACTACAGCAAGCAAATTATCCCACAATGCTACCATAAGGCTCCAACATTTTGCAGATTACCCTTCACAAAGTCTTACCCTACAGAGGGAAACAGGTCCCTCTTTTTCCAGCAGTGTAGTTGAATTCTAACTTCATTCACTCCTGCTATTAATTACAGTCCCAACAATGAATAATTTTTATTTATTTATTATAAGACATGGAAGTTTTATTACAACCTAAGACCTAAGACTTGGAAGTTTACTTCTCATATATCCCAATAAGAATTAGAATATAGTTATGAAATTCAAGTGCTGTGCTTAATTGAGACCGGAGAGTTGCAGACAGAAACTTGAAGAGAGGCCCGCATGTTTCCCTTGGAAGCATTAAAGAAGAAAATAGCTTTGGATCTATCCGCTTTCTCCGACATCAATTCACACCCCACCCATGGGTGCATGGATGGACCGAAGGGGCATTTGAATTTTATAAGTTCGTCCATCCTGTACAAGTCATGTAAAAACAAAAATTGAAACCCCCCCCCCCCCACACACACACACACTCAACTTACATGAACATCTGGCTCAACCATAATATCCATAAATATATATATATATTTATTTGAACAAGTTTGAGAATCTCATTATTTATACAGTAGGACAATAATCAGTACTGAAAAAGTAAATGCGCTACCAGGAAAAACAAGAGGAGGCCCCCATGAATATAAACCTTTGTTTGCTCACAACATTAAAGGTAAAATGCCTTAGAAAAAAGGAAACTGCAGTGAAGGATGTGAAGACTGAAGAACAAGTGCAACAAGGAAGCCATAGCACTGTGAAAAGAAAAGGCCTTGCAAAGCATCTACATTCAATGGAAGAAGAAGGACCAATTATTGAAACGGCAAGAAAAAAAAGCTACATTCATTAAATGCCATGACGCCATCCATAATAGCTCAAACTCTAAGCTCCACCGCCCCCATTGATCTCTCCTTCCTTTCTCACACTTTTCTCAAGCGCATAAATCAATGGTGGCTGAGGATTTTAAGTAGAAAAAGACTGATAGAAAAGAACATTAACTCAAAATAAAATGCAGAGAGACGCACGTAAAGGAAATCAAACAATCTTTTGTGTGTATATATATATATATATAGAAACCCCAGTCTCCAAATGGAAATCATGCTTCATCCTTAGTTCCATTGCCTGTCATCTGAAGTAACTTAAAAGTTTCTTAGTTGAAAAAACCAGTGTTTAGAGCTCTTCCATTTTCAGGCCACTTGCATTGCATTGCATGTCTCCACTTTGCCTCAATGCGCCATTATCTAAACCTATTTCATCGTTAAAATAGAGCTTTCCAAATGCAACAAAAAGAATATAGATTTAGAGCTAAAACTCAAGTTCCCATTAACATTACGTAATAACCTAATCTAAACCAGACTTGATAATACTGTTATTAATCCATCTCCAACATCATAATCACTATCAAAGTACCCCAGATGTCAACCCTAATATATATATATAATATTTAAAATCCCCATAAAATTAGTCTCCTGAACTTAGCCAACCAACTTTTTATTCTTTTTGCTGTTTCTAGGGTTTCTTACCAAGAGTGTGCTTGTTATTATGCATCCAAACTTTCAAAACGTGCCTTTTCACCCCAGTTTCGTTGCAGAACTGTTGAACAATCTCTTCATCGTGTTTTTGAAGACGCCACCCTAACCTCTCAGCCAAGGCCAACATCTTATCCTTTTGTTCCTGCGTAAACTTTGTTCTGAATCTCTTCCTTGAGATCCCTTGGTTGGAAACATCCTCTTGATCTTCCTTGCTGTGTTCTCCTGAGATTGACGGTAAAGCTAATGGCCATTGATGTCCAGCTACGTGGACGTATCCTGTTGGTGCTCTAAAGTAAGGCGTGAATTGCGGTGGCTGGTGGTGGTGGTGGTGGGGGAAGTAGAGGTCCGTGGTGGGAAGCTCCGACTCCTTACGGTGGAAGTTACGATGACAGTTACAAGCCGCGCATTTGAGAGCATCGATGGTACCTTCAGTTCCAGCCGGCATGAACTCACCGCAACCATCGACAGCCTGACCGCCAATCCCCACGGCATGATTTTTCAAGCACTCCCTATACCTAGGCTTCCTCTGCGGGTGCTGCTGTTGACCTGTTGGAGTTATTGAACCCGGTTCAACACCTGACATTCTGACTCTGGATGAGTTACCCAGCGAGTCGTAACTCGGGGCCAAATCCATCTCCTCTTCTTTATCCTCAAACTCCATTTCCCCTTCCCAAAAAGCCAATTATATATTTTTAACAATAAATTAAAACTTTTTTCCTGATTAATAAAGAAGAAGACAAAGATAAGAGGAGTAGGAGAGAGTGGACATAGTTTTTTTTTTTTTTTGGTTTCAAAGAGGGCGTTCGATCCTTCTTGATATAAGACTTCCCCGTTCCTCTGAAGTCAAGTTTGCTTATTACTTTTGTCTGTCTTTATTTTTACCGCACTGTGAATATGAATTTACCTTTTTATTTCCACTGTCGAGTGAATGAATAATAGTGGCTATCGTGAAAATAGCAGGGGTTGTCCAGTATTGGCTACAGTCTGCAGAGCAAAAAGGATTCCAACCCTTCACGCGCCTCACTTGCGAGGATGAAATTTTGGGTTTTGTATTGTTCTAACACTAGTAATAATATATTATTTTTTAGTATGTAATTATAAGATAATATTTATCTTTAATTATATTAAATAATAAAGAGGCTTCGTAGTTAGTTTTTTTCTCTAATGACCACACTAATTTTAGTGCTAGTGGGTTACCGTCGGTATTTTTTTTTTCTTTTTTAGTTTATTTTATCTTATCTTTATTTTTATTTTTATTAATTTTTATTAATTTTACTTTTACGACACGTTTTTATATCTTTATGATAAATTCTTATGTCTTTTGGTGCATTTTCGGTTGTTCGGTTGTTATTTTTATTTTTTTTCTCAATAATGAATTTGACATCGTCATTAATGATTTATATAACGCTAATTTATTATCATGTTGATATTCCCTACCTTTGATACTTAGATTAGATTTGGATACGACGACGTAATATTTTAAGAACTGACTCGATGGCATAATGCATACAGAGACTTGATCTATAAAATATAACTCAAACAGTTATAGAATCATATTTTTATCACGTCCCAGTAAGCAAGTTAATGTCTAGCTTAGACGATCTCTAGTTTTTAATGTAAATGAAGAATTTGGAATATATAAATAGTTAGATGACTATTTTGTAACTTTTAATAGTTGGAGATTTAATAAAGCAACGACTTATAGTACTATTTTATAACTTTTAATAGTGGCAAAGAGTTATATGGTTTATTCAGATTCAAAACAAGAATAGGTATACCGAAATTACTTGTGAGCATGAAATTAAATAACGATCTATTATCATCGTAACAGTAGAAATCGGAGTTTGCAATGCAATGTCTAAAATGATGAGCACCACAGTTGTTCAGTATTGTATGAGATCTCAATATCATAAAATATTTAAAGAAGAGCAATAAGCAAACTTCTGAACCAATAGTAAATAAATAACAAGTTAAACAACAAAGTAGGGACGATTAGGGTTGAGGCGAGAGAGCGAAGAGGGTCAGGGTTTTGCATGTGATATCAAAAACAGACAGCAAGGCAAAGAAAGACATCTGATGGGACATACTGACAATGCAGAGACAGTACTCCCCAGAAAACACAAACAAAATGAACCCTAAAACCCACAGACAATACATACTTGTAAACAGCAAATCTATAAAGACAAAAACTATAGAGATGCAAGTATAATTGTGCTGCCAGGTGGAGGGAAACCTCTAAGTCAATACAGACAGATTGCAAAGAAACCGACAGAATTTTCATTTCACTGTAAGCTTTTCTCTTCTTCCTCTTTATATTACAGTTATTTGGCTCTCACACGTTTCCCCTCCGTCTCTGTCCGACCAAAACCGAAACAATTGTTAAAAATAAGTGTTTTTTGGATGTTAATAATATGGCATTTATCTACCAACAACATTTGAAACGGAGATTCTCCGGGACAGGGCCGTGACTAGGTTATCGGTCCTGTACAAATTCTTATAAAGGGATCATTATCTTTTAGATATATTCGATTTTGGAGTCTCTATTTTTATACTTTTTAATGACAATAACTGATAAATATATTCGATTTCAGGACCCTTATTTTTATGTTTCTTAATGGCAACAATTGATAAATATATTCGATTTTGAGACCTTTATTTTTATATTTATTAATAACAATAATTGATAGCTATATTCAATTTCGAGACTCTTATTTTATAGAGATCTTACGCGGTCACGCAGCTTACGTCCCCTCAACCACGCCCCTGCTCCGGGAGGAGCAAATAACAATAACGGGACGGAGAAAAAGGGTTTTATGTTTGAGAGAGAAAGAGAGAGGAAATTACGGGGAAAAGGGAAGTGGAAATTGACATGACGAGGAAAGAGTGGGACGACATTCATTTCCATTTTCCATATTCTTTCACACCTTTTCTTTTCCAAAACAAAGTAGAAAAAATATATATATATAATAAATAAATAAATAAATAAGACAGTGGGCCCCAACTTTGGTTCTTAGTTTCTTACATGCCCACTATTTCCCAACTACAAGAATCCTTTTCAATTATATTGTTTTATTAGTAAATGTCACGATTTGAAATTTTAATATTATTTAAAAAAATTAATATTTTATTTCGTTAAATTAATTAATTGTTGATGGGTGAATATCATATTTATAATTATTGTTTTAATTGCTTAATATCATATTTATAATTTTTAAAAAATTATTATTTTTTTGAATATATATATATATAATTTTAAAATATTATTTTAATTACATTTTTAAGTTATTTTCATCATTTTAAACTTACGATCATTTATCGTCTAAATATTATATTTTCGATTTATTCAATGTTTTTGCTCACCTCTAAATTTAAGTTTTAATTAAATATTTTATGAAAGTATAAATATCATATTAGAAATTTTAAAAATATAAAACATTATTAAACATCTTGTTAAAATATAGATAGTACATTAGACATTATCCCTATGGTCATTTCTTTCGGTTTCTCGGATAGTTAGGCTTCATGCATGACCAACATTTTAAGTTTTGATTCGAGTAGGTGCATCTGCAGTGTGTATGAGTGTTGTCAATTGTTTAAATTTTTTTTAAACATATATTACCTTATAATCACATCAAATTATTCAAAAACATCCAACATGGAAACAATACCAGCCGTGACTGTCTGATGTATGTTTTAATAGCCAATTCAAACACAGTCTACTGGTCCGACCCTTGGAATCTTTCTTGTTTTTAAAGCTTGGAACAGTAAAATTAGCACTTCAATGTCTGCTATAAATGCGGGAATAGTGTGGTTTGAACAATTTAAAACATTCAACTTCATGTTTGTCTCTATCTCAAGTTTGAATTCAGATATCTACTCCCAACAGGATCTTTGTCGAGTCAATTTTTCAATTCAATGTATCTTTTAAATGTCTGAACTTTGTTGGATATTTTATGGTTTCTCCAGCCGTGCTGGATAATTTGTGGTACCCCTTAGCTATATCAACCTCAACTTTATCTTTGTCCTTCAAAAATACACTTGAATTCAAATACTTCTCAATGATATTTTATTTGGGGTTTAAGTGATATTATTGCTTGTGATTTTCAAACCAATAACATTATCACCTACCATCATCTCCACCTTGTATCAACAACGGACATATCACCTTTTTTTATAAATAAAAAAACTAGGGTATGAGAGGAATGAATCACCTACTAATTTTGTGCTGACAATCTCAAATGGGTTTACTCCACTAGCGTCCCAGCCTTCACCTAAATGGAAAAATTATCTTTTGAGAGTCCAGTATTTTGCATGATCTATGAATAACTCACGTGATTATTTAAATTTTTTATATAACAATCAGATCTATTTAACATGACAATCTACAAATAACCATTAGTATTCTAATTATGACACTAAAATTAAGGGTCAGTATATAAGTTGATATACAAAACTAGAGAAGGGAACTCTCTCTTCTAGGGTCAACTATCTATTATTTATCATCTTCTTAGTCCACTAAATTAATATATGTGCCTCTATCCAAACTAAAAAAAAATTGAATCTCCCATGGTTACCACACACACACTCATTTTTCTCACCAACAGTGTTGAAGGTCGAATAGTGTCCTACTTTCCAGTGCATTTGTTCGCAATATTCCTATGAAAGAGGCTTTTTACGTAGCGTATTCAAGAGTCTCTCATGCAAACTATTTAGGTCAATCACTAAATTATTCAATTCTCTAGATAATGCGTCACAGATAAAAAAAAAATCTGATTTCTATGTAAATGGTCAAACCTAAATTTACACTTGGAATGGGCTCCAATCCGAACAATTGTCTCGAAATTCACACTTGTTTTAAATTTGCACGCTTCTTCCTATTTCATAAAGGCAAAAACATTTCTTCCTGTTTCACCCTACAAATAAAGAAAAATATTTGACCTTGAAATAGTAAAAGGGTGGCTACAAGAGTGAACAATTGATATAATTAATCTTGCTTGTAGGTATTATTATTATTATCATTATTATTATGCTTGTATTTGCAACATACAAGTTAGTTCATCAACTACCCTTTTTTAAAATTAAAAAAAAACCTCGTTAAAAACTTCCTTTGTATTCAAGTATCGAGTTGAAATTTTAACCCGAACAGCGGAAGGAGGAAATGATTGGGAGTCTGAAAAAAAGCAATCAATTGATATGAGAAAAAAGAGGAGAAACTTGGATTGTTGGGAGCTGAAAGGATGAGTAAAACAAACATTTTGATTAATAGCTACGTAGAATTCGGAAATGATTGGGAGTTTGTAAAAAGCAATCAATTGATATGAGAAATAGGCTAATTAGTGATCCATTTCAATTTCAAATGGCTAACCAACACTGGGTTTAGTGATGGTTTGCAAGTAGACATCTATACTTACAAGTGATTCATGTTTGATTTGGAAAAAAAAAATCAACTCGTTTATTAAACCTAGGATAAACTATACGTTTAGTACCCTAACTATCATATTTGTTATGTTTTGATCATCCAACTATTTTTTCCCCAAAATCATATCTAATGTTGCGTTCTAATTTCATTTTGGTAAGATTGTTAGAAAATTAATAGAACTGTTAGCGTGAAATTTTTATTTTTTTAATGATGATATGACATTAACTTATGGTAACACATCAACATTATTATTAATCTTTTAATAGCGTGTGACCAAAATGAAACATTAAATATAATTTTAAAAGTTATAATGAGATGATCCAAACTAAATAAAAGTGATAGCTGGAGATACTAAACTTATAATCG